GTTACTACCAGCCAGCCACTGAAGCTGCAACTACTAAGCAACTAACCAACCATCGATAAGTGCTTAAGACATATTCAACATTTCAGATATCAGCCCGATAGCTACAATTAGCTGACAAATTTAAACTTTGGAACTTTTGAAATTTGCCCCCGAAGCAGCTGCCGGCTCCTGATCCGCCATGTCTCCTTGGTTTTGTCAACTTCCTCTGCTGGTGAAACTGCAGCTTGCATTATTAGAGTAACACCACTTATGTTTTGATGGTGTGATCTTTTCCCGTCATGTTTATAAATGTACAATACATTGTCTAAGTATGTCTATGACAGCAGTAACTCAGGAGTTTGAGTGGGTTGTCCACCCGAGAATGCTGCTGTTGTGTCCTTGGGCAAGACACTTAACCCCCCTTGCCTGCTGGTGGTGGTCGGAGGGACCGGTGGCGCCTGTGTTCGGCAGCCTCGCCTCTGTCAGTGTGCCTCAGGGCAGTTGTGGCTATGTTGTAGCTCAACCCCACCAGTGTGTGAATGTGTGTCTGAATGGGTGAATGACTGATTGGGTCGTGAAGCACCTTGGTGTCATGGTCTGTGTCGGCGTCTCATCTCATGTGTCTCCTTTTGTCCTCCATTTGTCTCTAGGTGCTCATTTTGTGTCTTCTAGCGCCCTCATGTGTCGTGTCTGCATCTTCTTCATGTGCCTCCTGGTGCTCTCCATCCCTCTTTAGTTCACTTCGGTGTCTCATAGCGCCCTCATGTGTCCTTTGTCTGCATCTCTATATTGTGTCTTCTGTTTGTAGGCCCTCATACACTCCAAAAAGAGATGTGTCAAAAATCAACACAGGTGGATGTGTTAACAGCATTTTGACACATGTTGTGTAGATTTTAGCACACATTGTGTAACTCTCCTATCAACTGACTGACACATTAAAAGTGTTATCTTCCGTGCTTGAAGTTGTGGCAGGAGATTTCACAAATACAACCTGCTGAAACCCAAATTTGTATTAGTATTTTTGTATTTGTTTTATTCATATTATTTATATTAGTTAAACCTCACTGACATGTATACAAATTAGCAAGATAAAATAGAAATTAAATAAGTCTTTACAAATGTAATTAAAAACAAAAGGTAATTTTTACAAATGTCTGGTGAAATCAAACAGAAAAGCTATGCATAGTAAAAAAAAAATCTGCAAAAAATTACGAAGGTAAGATGATACATCTAAACATTTTCAAAGTTTAACGGCAGCTTTTTGTCATCCAATCATTAGGCTTCTTAAAAAAAAACTACTTCCGCCCGCCTGCCAGTTTCAGTCGGTTTGTGTTACTTCAGTCCGCTCATTTCTCCGGACTTTTGGAGGGGATTACAATGGAGGATTCTGAGCCGCCTGTAAGTAACATTGTTTGAATGTTGTTTATTAAATATATATATATAATATTCTAGGTGGCTACGCAGCGTTTATTGACTTGTGCGGTTAGGCAGTACTTGGCGCCACTTAGCATAAGCTAACTAGCTTAACCAGTTTACTTTACTCAGGCTTTCGCTTGCTAGGTTAGATAGTCAAACATTTTCAAAATATATTTACATGTGTTGTTAACGGCAGTGTCCCCAAAGCTGGACGTACACTACGATTTGCTGACCGTTTTGAGCCAATCTCCCTCATCCACAATTTTTTGGGGGTAAGTTCTGCCTGGTGTAGTGTAGGGGTAAGGAGAGGCGGTTAACACCTCACAACCAGCTCTCGAACAGCCAATCTGCAGTCACACGAATATTAAAAGTGCTTCATATTTTGTTTGTCTCTTGAGGGTATCGCACTGTTGAAGCAACGCTGTGACCCAAAAGTACCAGAACCGCTCACATAGCGCATGCGTCATGTGAACAGGCTTCGCTAAAACTCTACTACAACACCACTGGTTCCGGGTTTTCAAACTTAAGGGTTTGACATGATGTGTAAAAACTGCTATTTTAGCATGTTTTCATGTCTGTGTTGCGTCCACGCAGTGTGAACAGTCAGGTCACATCCGAACATTGCGTGCTATAGTGTGAGAACATGACTTGTACAGTTTGAGAAGTTAAATGGTACGAGTAAAACCGTAGCACAGCGAATGAATGCCTTGGAAAACGTTAGTTGTTAAACAAAAGTTGCTAAACATTAAACCTTCTGAAGGGGAATGTGATCAAACTAAAAGAAATCGTGATATAACTAAATAAGTTCGATCCTTACGCACTGTGTTTTTGAAACAAAATACCGTAAAGCGCATATTAATATAATTAATTATAAAAAGAAATCTATTTCAAAATAAAATTGTGTACCATATTGATATATTGATTTGACAAGGCCAGTGGTGCTTTTACTTTGAAGGATGATACGGTCGCTATCCGGATGCGTTGCTATTCCTGCTAGCTATCTACCGATCGAAACGACTTGTTTAAAACTTTATATAGCGGCCAGCGAGAATTAACTGTAACGGATCACACGCTCCATCAGACGTTTTTTTGTCTTTTTTAGCTAACGTAAACCGTTTGTATTTGATAAATGAACTAACTTGTTTTTTACGCTTTTCAAACTCCCAGGTCCAAGGCATTTGTTGCCACTGACTACGAGGACACGGAAGCGAACATACATAGTTCTTTGAAAATATTAATTTAGTAAAACTACTACACTAACCCGCCCTGTAACTTGTGTTATTATTAACTTATGTTTATACTGAGTGATACTTTGTTACATGCACAGGTAGCTCCAGTTTGATCACCAAATAAAAATGTCAGTAACTTGTTCAAATGCAGAGGAAAATATGTGAATATCGTTTTTAAAAGGGTAGAAAATGTCATGAGTATAAACCAGTTAATCAAAATGTGTTAAGTTAAAGTAAAACAACATTAGAAGCAAATACAAAAACATTTAAAGCAATGTAAAATATAAATAAAATAGTTGTAAAAAATTAGTCATGTAATGTTGAACTGCATGTTGCTGTAGTTTTTCAACTCCGCTTGAGGCAAACATTATAAACTTGAGTCATTGTATTGCCATTGTTTTGTTGAATAAGCCGTGTTTGGAGATACTACTCATAAAAATATGTGGCCAACCATTTTATATTAAATGAGGAAAACCGTCCTAATTATATTTCGTCTGATAAGATCTAATTTGAGATTTACTTTAATAATAATATTACAAAATAAAAGTAAATAACTTTTTTTTCTGCAGAACCCAGACCTACAACCTGGATCAATCAGAGTGCTTGCTACCATCTTCAAAAATGGAAACGAGTCATCAAGGAAGATTTATACTGTTCACACTACAGAACAGCTAATAACCCACATCATGTCTGAGCAACCAGGTTTTGCATTTGACAGAGTTCTGAAACATCATGCTGACTTCCAAGAGTTTGTTGATGTGGACAGAACAACAGACATCAGGAATTTTGACAAATTCCAGGTCTTTCTATCAAGTGTCGAAGCATTACCCCAAACAACTGCTGAAGAGCTCCATCAAATCCAGGTATAAGATTTTCATTTTATTTGTGTTATATTATTTTCTGGGCTGTAGCACTGGAAAAAAAGAAGTGTCACATACACTTGGTAACAGTGAAATTAAATGGCAAGCGATTTTAAATTCCAGTGATGGCCTTCTGCCAGAATGTTTCTTTTTTAGAATTAGGAGGGTTGTGTCACATTCAGACAGACTGTCGGATTTCAGTCACTCTGAATTAGAATCGATCAGAAAAAGTGGGGGAGGATTCCTCCTGTTCACAATCTTTGCTCTAGTGTGTTGGTCTAATGTCGTCAATTGACCGATCACAATCGAAGAGACGGCATGCTGCAGACGACGAGGCAGAGCGGCGTTCGCAGTGATCAAGTGCTGTTGCTTTAACATCTCGCTGCAGTTTTGAGCTTAAAGTTTGTAAAATCAAACAAAGTCACCACAAAACAACAGTTTTCTGTTAAGGACTTTAGCAGATTTGCCTTCATAGATTTTCCCAAGGTGTTTTTTTTTTACGGGAGATACATTTTTTTTTATCTAAAGTGGGTTTATCTTATATCAGAGCTGCTCTCATATGAGCATGTCTTCATCTGCTCTCATGCCACCCCTTCCCAATTTCTCAGGCTGAACAATAATATTTAATCTTTAATAGCACTATAGCCCTCACACTCCCTTACATCACCACTGAACAAGACTACATGTTTCTGCTGCAGGTTGTGGGGGTTCAGCTCAATATAAAAATTTACACTTTGGATTTATTTGTGTATGTTACAAATATTTGCAATAATCAAGCAGTCCTAACTAATGTTTATAATAAATCTAATTTCTTCTCATATCCCCTTTGCTGCCTTCAATCTAGCATCTTCCTGTGGTAAACGAACTGGGAAGTCTGCAGATACTATTACAAAGAAAAGCACCAAAAATACTTGAGGAACACAAAAAAACAGGGAGCCTTAAAACTGAGACAAGGAAGCTCCTTGTCAAAGTTTGCATCAGTCACTTGGTGGAGAAGCATGGATTGTAAGTACATACTTTCATACATACATACATACTACATATATAGAGTGGAAGTGTATACATAGATATGCATTTTTATTTCAGTCATTCAATTCACTAATTTAGATTTTGATTTCTGTTCTTCCATTCAACCCCTTAAGTTACCCAACAAGTGCTGAGAAGGTGACTTTAGCCAAGACAATCATCGCCACTTTCCCATCCTTGAGAGTTCAGATTGAAGGAAAAGGAGAGGGATTTGTAAGTAGAATTTGCCTAAATCCAAAAAGTGTCTTCATTATTAGGGCTGGACGATATAGAAAAAAGCATATAGATAAAAAAAATCAGGTCATTATCAATAATTATTGAAAAATATTGATAAAAAATGTTGAAAATATCTCAAGTGCAGCCCTTCCCATTTTATGCTATTCACTAGCATTACCCAGCAGCGGCAGACAGCTGTGCTGCAGATCATGTGTAAAAATGACAACACTGGTGTGGTGTGTAGCTCTGAAGCTTTGTCCAAACACTTTTTTTTTTTTTCATTTATATTTTATTGAACATTCAGCAGTCATGTTACATGAGAACCTCTTTTCCAAATACATCCCCAAGTTTCTGCTTGAATAAGTATTTTCTGTGATTCGGTATTTAAAACGGGAAAGAAAAAAATCTAAATATATAGGAAATGGGGGAACTTGGTCTTTAAGCTTTTATTATTGTCAGTAATCCAAACTAATGTTTTGCTGTTGGATTTTTTTCATTCTTTTCCAACACAGGAGCATTTTTATGATCCATTATCACATTCTGGATTCCTGGAAATGAGACTGCGTAATATCCGTCGAAAGCTTGAAGCGGGTCAGCGTCGTTACTCAAAGCGCAAGATAAGCTGTGATACTGGAATGGAATCAGAACAGGACCAGGGGGAGAGCAGTGCAACCAATGAGTGGATCACCCTCATGAAACGACTCAGGCCCTCTTCAGAGAACATCTCTTCAATTAAATCTGCTATGGAAAACACGTACACAAGGCGTAGGTCATGGATATCAAAAAAGAATCCCACAATGGCTGAAATTTTGGAAGAATATCCACGCTTTCTGGACATGCCTAATCTGGTAGGCCTCATCATTTTCCTTCTTTAGTTAAAGCAAATGCCTGATGTCATTAATAACTGTTGATGTATAGTTTAAAACAACTTCTCTTTTTATTTAAGCTGGATATTGAGTTCGGAAGAATGACTGATGGCAAGACGGAGCTGTTTATCAGACGATGGGAAGTCAGCATAATTCCAAAACTGAAATCTTTGGCTACCATGGAAGGAGGGGATGTTTCATTGCTAACAGAGGGGATGGAAGACCAAACTGATGGTATGTGTTTTCTCCTTTGAAAGTGTCTGCTGTGTAACACTTATTAATGTATTAATCCTGAATATCTGCTGGTGTGTACAAAATTATCTTGTACAGCCCTTTCAAAATTCTGTCTGTTTTTAAGAGCTATTCCATTCAGAAACTGTTTTATTGGTCACCAAGTTTCATTTGCAGGCAGAATGTGAAAATAGTCTTAACTCTTCTTTCCTGCATTAGCTGCAAATAGAAAATCTAATGGTCCATCCATCTGTCTAAATATGTCCATCCTTACATCTGTCCAAACAGACATGCCAGTCCATTTTTCTGTCCAAACATGCATCTGTCTGTTCATCCATCTTTCCCACACTGCGTTGACCTGACTACAGATATACATCCAAAGTGCTAACTTGCTAAAAGCACTTGTCATCTTTAATATACATCCAAATGCGTCCATCACTTTGTCCATTTTTCCATCTTTTTAACAACGCATCTACCTGTCCATCCATCTGTCCAACCAGATGCTTACTAGGGTTGGGCATCGTTTGATTTTAAATGATTCTGATTCAAATTCCTCATTTTGATTGCAGTTCCTATCGATTCCCGATTCCATCAAGACATGACATGTTTTACATGAGCTAGCTAACCACAGGTTCTACTTGATGAAATAATCTTAACTTCAACATGAATTTTAATTCTATGTAAAATACCATCACCTTCATTTTGACAAAACAATGTTTTGGAGAGAAAAAAAAGAAAAAGACTTGCAGCACAACCAGTGTTGGCAATCTTTTGATTTTGAATATCATCTTAATTTGTCCTTTCAATAAAATATAATAATTACACAATAAATTAGAAAGTTTTAAAATGCCAGAGAAAAACTTATTTTTCTGAGAAACTTCTCAAAATAACGTGTGGAACCCTTCCTCCTCCAATCTGCAATCTCCAGTGTCTGGTGCCTTCTGGTTTAAACCAGCCAATCAGCAAGCAGGTCATTAGCATATTAATTTCCTGGCCAAGTGGGAGGGTTAAATTGCTCTTTTCAGAGCAAGGCTGATTTAGGGGGTTAGAATGGCCTGTATCAATTTCTGAATGGTGAAAACTCCAGAAAGTTACTTTAAGAGTTGTGCCTAATTTTAAATTTGCCTAATTTAAAATTTTTAAATATATTTGTGTGCCTGTTCTATTTTTTCCCCAGATGAAAAGTGCTACACAATGCTGGTTGTTCTCACACATCTTCTGCCACCATTGCCTGGGAGTCGATGCAGCATTAAGTCTGCAATATCGTTCCTGGTTGATTTTGTACCGGTATGTATTCAATTCAATTAAAGTTTGTTTATATAGCACCAAATTACGACAATAGTCATCTCAAGACACTTAACATGGTAAACATTCCAACACAGGTCAGTTCATTAAGTCGATCAGAAAAAAGTAACCTATATAAGGAACCCAGCCATGGGTTGCTGCCTGGTGGCTGCATTGCCCCTGAGTAGGTCTGGGTGGGTGCCTGGGGGCTCGGGGTGTGGGGGCGGCGGGTCCCTTGTGGGGATCTGGGCGGGGACTTGGGGATGGGGTCCTGACTTGTAAGCTGCCGGGAAGAAGACAGGAACAAGCGGCGGTGCATGGCCTAGGCTCAAGGGCCTCAGGTGGACCTTGGCTCCTCTGGAACAGAGGCAGAGACACAGAGGACTGTGGGGGGAAGTGGGCTTGTGTGGTTGCATCAGCTGGCGTAGGCCAGACGATGCCTGCACTGCCTGTTCACCACAGCCATGGAATACACCTCATCAACACCCACTAACACTGTATTGGAGCAGGTGGAAGAAGACTAGGGGTCTTAACACACCTCCGACGCTTGGCTTGCCAGGGCTGGAGGCTATGAGGGGGAGCTGGTCATCATGTTGGGGTCTGGGGTGGTGGCATGCTTTGCTCGGCGTTGGGTCCCTGTGCTCTGGGACAGCTCCTGGATCTCTGGGACTTGGAGCTCCCTCCATCTCCACATCTTTGGGGGGCAGATCTGTGACCCCTCACACTCTCTATTGTATGCTCCTATAGAGAAATCTTACATTTACAAGCGCGTGTTCGCACACAGGTGCTCACATGGTGCTCTCATAAGTATGGACTTGGGTATTGTCAACACATGTCTTGAGGCTGTGGTTGGCACTAAATGCATTATGATTTATTATCGTGTGATTGTTCAGTAAAACAATGTTTTTATATTTCCTCATCAGGTTGACGCAGTGATAGCTTGCTCCTGTTGTACTGTTGTGTGTTTTTTTTTCTCTTTCTGCAGGTTATTGATTGCTTATTCTTGTGTGACCCCCCCCCCCCCCTTGTTTCTTCCTTTCTTTCACCTCTGTCTCTGTGTCTGGTCAAAACTATAAAGCATTGAAAAAAACATTAACAATAAAGTTTTAAGTATCAGGCGTGACATTAAAGCAGAAGCTTTGATGCTCCACCTGAGAGTAAATCTGTAGGGCTTGTCACCAGCTTTAGACATTAATTCTGTTTGCTTCATAGCCAAACAGAACATGGGGGAAAGAATAAAGCTATTCCCTTTGATCTCACAAAATTCATATATTATTCTATCTTGCAGGCTGGGACCAGCATTGCGTCCCTCTGCAGCAACTCTGAGGTGGCACAAGGCACCCAACCACAGTTGATCTGCATCGGCAATTTGAAGAGTGCAACTCGCCAGTACATTATCGTTGCAAGCAATGACGGTGTGACCATTCCAGTAAATGATGGCCTGACATGTGCATTGGACAAGCTGTTCAAGCTCTACTGGGTTTGCAACTTGGCCTATCCACCCCAGCTCAGCTCTGTGTTCACTTTCTTCGAATACATCTACGAAGTTACCATCTCAACCAACCGGAAAGCCAAGGTACTGGAACTGATCTCCAAGCTTCAAGCTGCACAGTAAAGCACTATCATGTACACATGTCCAAAGTGTAAACAATTGATATCGACACAAGTTAAGACAGTAATTTGGCATCTGCGTGAAGTTCATGCCTTATCAGATGGACAGGGTTTCACTTTAATTTGCAGCCAAGAAGGCTGCCCTCGGACATATCAGAACTTCAATTCTTTTTCTAAACATCTTCATCGGGACCACCAACCCACAACATTAATGGACACTGTGCCATTTCAGGCTCATGACAGCAGATCATCTGCCACATCTGAAACTAACACTTATAATATTGAGGAAACATCAAACGTTTCAACTGTACCATTAACACCTACTCTTTCCAGTGATTGTGTTGCTTCTTTTGTAGCAAAAATGTATTCTTCTTCAAACACAACTTTGATGGATGTAGCAAGAAGCATTACTTGCACACAAGAAGTACTTGAAAGAACAATTGAAAGTCTACAACAATCGACAACTACATTGCTGAATAACTTCCAAGTACCACTTCATAGTGAGTCTGTCCAGTCATTAATGAGTGAATTTGAGAGTGCTAAACATATGTTTAAAGATGTTGACACACCTTTTAAAATAAATAAGTATTTCTCAGAAAATTTTGATCTTGTGAAGCCAAAAGAAATATTTCTTGGTCATAGGGCAGACACAGCAAGAAAACAGGGACAAATGAAACAAGTGTTGGCAGCTGACACATGTCAATACATTTCAGTAATTGATACTATTAAATTTTTATTCAGTAATGTCCAGATGCAGAAAGAATACTTGCAAAGTAACAAACAATTTGATGGTAAAATGCACAACTACTGTGATGGGTCACACTTTTCCTCTCACCCATTGTTTAGCAGATGTCCTCAAGCTCTTCAAATACAGTTGTATTTTGATGACTTGGAAACTGTAAACCCCTTGGGCTCCAAAACTAAAATTCATAAAATGGGTGCTGTTTATTTTGCCTTAAAGAATCTGCCACCAAAACATAATTCGTCCCTCTCACATATTCATTTATGTCTTCTTTTTAATTCTATGGACAGAGACAAATATGGGTTTGGTAAGATTTTGGAACCACTGCTTGATGACGTCAAACTTCTTGAAAGATCAGGTGTACAGGTAGAGATCCAAGGAGAAAGTTATCAGCTCTATGGAACTATCTGTGTTTTGACTGCAGACAATTTGGCCGTCCATTCCCTATGTGGGTATGTTGAGAGCTTTTCTGCAAACAAGTTCTGCCACTTCTGCCTTGTTGATAAAAATCTTGCGCAGACTGTTTTTGATGAGGATGAGCTTGAGAAACGCACTAGAGAGAATTATCAGCAGCATGTCTGGCATAATGATCCTAGCTCAACTGGAGTTAAAGAAGACTCCTGTTTGAATAAACTGCAGTATTTCCATGTGACAGAGAACACATGTGTCGACATTATGCACGATATTCTCGAAGGTGTAGCCCCTTTAGAGGTGAGATTAATGTTACACCACTTCATTTATGAAGAAAAGATATTTTCTCTTGAACTGGTTAATCATAGAATCACCAGTTTTGACTATGGATATGGAAATGAAAAAAATAAGCCAAGTGCTATTCTCAATCTGAGAACTTCTGACAATGCAATTAAACAAACAGCATCACAAATGTGGTGCCTTTTGCAGGTGTTGCCCTTTTTAATCGGCAATCTTGTTGACAGGAAAAGTCAACATTGGCATTTGTTTATCCTGCTGAGGGAAATATGTAGCATTGTCTTTGCACCAACTGTCACTCTAGGGCTTGCTGTATTTCTGAAACAGCTCATTATAGAGCACCATGTATTATTTAAAAAAATCTATGACAGAAATTTGATTCCTAAACACCACTTTATGATTCACTATCCAAGGATGATTGTTATGTTTGGACCCATTTCTCAACTATGGTGTATGAGATTTGAGGCAAAACACAATCCATTAAAAAGACATGCCCACGTGGTTGGCAACTTTAAAAATATTTCTAAAACACTGAGCTATAAGCATCAGGTTCAGCAGATGTATAGTTTCAAGTTAAGTGACCCTTTTTCTCAGAAAATAGATGTCACTAACACATGTCTTGTTACGATCAGCTCTTTGGAGAAAGCAGAAGTAATACTGGACAATCTCAGAACAATACACCATGACTTGACTTTAAACAGCAGTGTTTATGTTACTCACACTGTTGGTGTGCTTGGGCAAACTTACAAAACAGGCACTGTACTGACACTTAAAGTAAACAATAAAGGAGACCCTTTGTTTGGCGAGATCATCTGTATCATGCCACAGACTGATACAGGATCAGTTATGATATTTGTGAAAATCATAACAGTAAAGTACTTTGATGAACATTTTTATGCGTATGCTGTAAAAGAAACAAACGACTATGAAATGATCAGCATGGCTGATTTGGCACATTATAAGCCTTTAGACATAATGTTAGCTTTTAAAACAGATGAAATGTATTTGAGCCCAAGATACAAAATGTTTTAATTTCTTAAAACATGATGAACAGATATATTATTGAACATGTTTTAAAAAGACAATACATTCTTAAGACCCAACAAAATGTATAACAAACGGAGAAATGATACTTCTGCAAATGAAACATTTAAATTTTCTGACACTTGAAACAAAAAGTTATGATTGGTGGGATTAAAAATGTCTATTGTTCTCAGCATGTAATAAACTTAGAAAAGGTATCATTACTGCAAAAAGTGTTTGTTGTTTGGTTAATTTGTTTTATATTGTTTAGTAATCAGTTTATTGCTGGTATTGCATGGTTAAAGTTTAAAGCACTAAATGGTTTAAAAAAAGCAGAAAGGTTTGTAATATGTTTTTACACTTCCAAAAGACTTATTCAACACAGTGGGAATGTGTTTATTTGCTATGGTTTTGTAGCAGTAATTTCTTATTTCATTGTGTTTCTATGCATATGCTAAGATAAGTACATTTCAAAAAGTATTTTCATCTTTCATGTTGTGTTTTTATGTGAAAATCAAAAATAAACTTTTTTTAAAGCAGTCCTAATTTTATTTTGTTTGACTAATTTACATTAAAAGCTACACTTGGCTTACACATTTAATGTGTAAAAACAACACATTTTAGCATTAAGCTAACTAACACAATTTGTGCGTTAAAATTGCTTACACATCTTTAACACATTTTAGCGTTGGGTTAGCTAACACAATTTGTGTGTTAAAATGGCTTACACATTTAATGTGTTGAAATTAACACATTTTAGCGTTGGGTTAGCTAACACAATTTGTGTGTTAAAATGGCTCACACATTTAATGTGTTGAAATTAACTCAACATGTGTTGTCCCTGATCACACTCCGCACATGTGTTAAAAAATAACACAACATGTGTCATTTTTGACACATGTGTTTTTGCTGTGTATTATCCCCTCAGGTCTGGTGTTTTATTAAGTCATCCTCAGCCTCCTCCAGTCTGTAGCGCCAGCCTTGTCCCCAACTCAGTGTATGTGTGTGCATGTGTGTGTGTGTGTGTTCTGCCCAGTTAGTGTTTGTGTATGTGTGTGTGTATGTGTGTGCTCCCCAACTCAGTGTATGTGTGTGCATGTGTGTGTGTGTGTGTGTTCTGCCCAGTTAGTGTTTGTGTATGTGTGTGCTCCCCAACTCAGAGTGTGTGTGTGTGTGCGTGTGCGGGTGTGTGTATTATGTCCTCCTCCAGATAGTTTGTGTGAGTCCTTCCCTCAGTCTCTAGGTTTAAATTTTGTATTTTAGGTTTATCTGCCCTTCTCTGTTCTGTTTCCCCATTAAGATTATTATTGTCACCTGCCTTCCCTCCAGCAGCTCACTCCGCACACCTGCTGCCTGTTTTCCTGATTGCCCCTCCCAGTCTATTTAAGCCCTGTCTTGTCTTTGTCTTGTGTCGGTCCATTAAAGTTTGTTGATTCTGTCAGTTTAGTCCCGCTGTGTTTAACCAGAGTTTCTTGATCCCCAGATAATAATCTGTCTTTGACCTTTTGGATTTTGACTCCCAGTTTGGATTACCTTGGTTTTTGGCTCACCTACAAAATAAAGACCTTTTACCTAAAATCTTCATCCCTGCCTCTGTGTCATCCTGGGTACTGCATTTTGGGTCCACACCACCGTTTCATGACACTTGGGGGGGGGGGGGGGGGGGGGGGGGGTTGTAGAACCCTAAGAAGGTGCTAAAAAATACAGGCCATTTTACCATGTCCAAGTGTATGTTATAATTTTTCTTCAAATTAGTGTCTAAGTGTTCTATTCTATTGTATGTGATTCTATTTTAAATATTACTGCATATTATACAGATGTTTTTTATTATTCTAATATTGAGATGCACAATTTCCAATGATGTGTTAATGTTAGTATTTTCCATTAATTATTGTTATTAAAATAATTATAATTCTAGAGTTGAAAATAATTGCAATAGAAGAAATTTATATATATTTTAGTCGACTGAAATTAAAACAAATCGGGCGAATAAAACATGACTAAAATTAAAATGAATGTTAGTCAAAAGACCAAAACCAATGCTAAATAACATTTCTTGTCAAAACTGACGCTGCTTACATCTGAACTGGATTGACACAAGCTGGTTTTAATGGTTGTGATGGTAAATGTCCTGACCATTCTGGCGTTTTGTTTCTGAGCAAAGAACACCTCTCTGTCTGCTCGGTCATCAGTGGGACCAGGTCCAGGTTTCTATGGTTACTGGTACTCTAGTTGTGTCAGAGAACCATAACGTAGCAGAAGAGCCAAACTAACAAGACTTACACCCAGATTGTGCTTCATTATCATGTTGACTGTATGGAGGTACATTTGGTGCAATACCATTTGCGTTTTGTTACTAGGAACTTGAAGTCACAGAGAAACTTTCAGAAAAATCCTTCTGTGACGTCAAGTTCCTAGTGACAAAAACACAAATGTTATTGCACCAAATGTACCCCCATACACCTGCACCAGTTACACAAGTAACACCAGTTAACCTGAAGCATCCTTCACAAGCTTCAAGAGCTTGAAGCATAAACACTGACTGCTGCTGGACAAAGAAATCCAAGAATGTGCAAAGACAACATGGAAACTCCCTCTCCCTTGCCAGGAGGTGAACCCAGGACCATCCTATTGCAAGGCAGGATTGTCACTTGTGTTCTGATGGAGCTTAACACAGCTGTGTGTGATGTTACATGCACGGACTGGAGATGTGGGGTGTGGTTAGCGGAAGAAGCAAAAGATGTTCACTAATGGTAACCGGCGTTTTGGTTGGAGCGATGGAGATGATGCCTCTTCTCACATGGATTCAATTCTAGTCCAGATTGTATTTATTTTCAGGTGTGATAGGTAGAAGGCCACAGAGAGAAACAGCATGTC